CACACATAAAGACTCATAATATATTTTGCAAAAACATAATTGTTTCAAGTGTTAACACAAATACTCATAAAAATGTCATTATCCCAGAATCATCTACATATTCTCAAATCGGTGTGTATAATCAAGTCGGCGCCTTCCCGCAATCCTGAGAAGTACCTGAAACACATATCACACAACACAGTAAGCACGAAGCTTAGTGAGTTCCCCAAAAAAACCACATACACAAATAATAAGCCTCTCATGGCTATAGCTCAACATGGACCCTTCGTTATTGCGTCTCGGTGAGGACCCATCGGTCTCACAGCTCGGTGTGGACCCTCCGGTCATGTGTCGTAGTGAGGATCCTCCGGTCTCACAGCTCGGGTTGGAACTCCCAATCCTTTATCTCAGTGAGGACCCTCCGGTTTCGTAGCTCGGGTTGGACCCTCCGGTCCGATCTCAGAATGCAAGAATAACATAGCATATATCACAAAATAGAAATGCATAGTAACACATAACTCAATATAAGCACATAGGACCCTTCGGTCAATAACTCAAATAAGACCCTCCGGTTACTCGGTATTACCAGTCAGGTAAGTATAGTAAGAATACTCACCTCGTAAGAAATTGAATAACCTCGAACTCAAATCACCGGTCTAGCCTCCACCTAAGACATACGATAATTATTTCTAATTAATAACGATTCTCAAGGAAGCTAGACTAACCCTTCTACAAACTCACAGAAGGATAAAAGACCATTTTACCCTTCCATGACCTTAATAGTCCACAAATTGACCAAACCCTAAAAGTCAACGGCAGCGCGTACGATGCGCGTACAAGACCTCTACGTTGGGCATAGTCATTTTCCATGCATGCATCGAGGATTCTCGACCCTACGCTGCGCATATTGATTTTACGCTCAGCATATGCCCCATTGTTGCTCTTCCTACTTGTTTGGTCTTAATTCGTTATGACCTTAGCTCAAATCTCAGATTTGGACTCCCTAAAGGCTCATACTCCATAAAATTTGCGACTTTAAGCCTTTGCATGGTTGATAAAGACACAAACACCAAAACTCTCTCTCTCTCTTTATTCTCAAGAATGCTCATATCTCATGCATGGGTTGATTCAAACATCCAAGCCTCGATTTTTATGACTCTACACCACTCAAAACACTCAAAGGAGCTAATAATAAACTCTGGAGCTCAATATCTCAGAAAGTATCCAACTTTGGGACCAAAACCCTAAAATGAACTAAAATGATGCACAAATCATAAGGGTGAGAAAGCTTTGAGCTTTATACCTCTAACTGAAGCTCCAACCACAGATAAGCTCAGATCTAAAGCCTGGACTCCCACTCCTTCCTCTTCAAAGCTCCTTCCTCACTCCAAAGAAACACAAGAAAACTTAATAGCTCATAAATGGACACACAAGCTCAAGGGAAGAGAAATTAGGGTTTGAGAGGGTTGATGTCTGGGAATGGTGGCCATAAATGAGGCCATCATGTCCTTTAAATTGGGACACACCCTAAATTAGGGTTTTCACTCTAGGCTTGTACGCCTAGCGTACTAGGTGTCTTCCGCATCAAAACCACGCACATGAATATGCTGAGCATACACACGCGTACACCTCGCGTACTTATTTACCACCTTTTCTCATATAAGGGACAAAATTAACATTTACCAAAGGAGCAAGGGTTTATAAAGTATACCTGGTCTTGGGATGTTACATTATCCTTGGTCTATGTAGCGAGACGATTACGTAGATACTTTCAGGCACACTCAATCCTCCTGTTAACAAACCAACCGATGAAGAAAATCTTGATGCAATCATAACGGTCTGGAAGAATGAAGAAATGGGTAATAAAATTAAAGGAGCATGATATGACCTACAAGCCAAGAACCAACATCACATGCCAAGCCCTCGTCGATTTCCTCATAGAGGTGTCGGACGATCCCAACATCCGAACGACTACCGTTATTCACCCATGAGTACAGATCCAAACCAACATGGAGGATTAGACATCGTATACAAATAGAGCATCAAGTAGGGATGGTTTGGGTGTAGGTATCTTTCTTACTAGCCCACAAAGAGACAATTCCACTTGCACACTTAGGTTCAAATTCAAATGTTCAAACAATAAAGCATAATATGAAGCTTTAATTGTAAGGTTGAGGTTGAAAAGAAGCGTGAATATATCGAACTTAAAGGTATTTAGTAACTCGATGTTGGTGGTTAACCAGATCACAGGTGATTACGAAGAAAATGAAGCACACATCCAGAAATACCATCCCTAGTCATAATTTTAGATTGAGAAGTTTCAACATATCGAAATAGGGGCGGACCTAGGGGTGGTCCACGGTGGCACTGGCAACCCCTAAATTTTCCGGCCACAGTGGAAAAAATTTCGAAAATTTTTGAAAATTTTATTTTTTCTACTACCGTGCAACCCCTAACACTCCCGTGCAACCTCTACATTAAAATCCTGCGTCTGCCCCTGTATCGAAATTACATAATTCCCAAGGTCAAAAAATAAATAAGCAGATGCTTTGAGCAAACTAGCGGCGGTGGTGTTAATCTATCTCTCGGATGAAGTTTTTGTAGAAATATTACTGAGAAAAAGAATCAAAGGTCCAGTTATGGAGGCAATGGAGTTATTGGAGGAAGAAGAGTCATGGATGACGCCATATATCCTCTTCCTTAAAAAAGGGATATTACTGACGGATGAAAAAGAAGCTAGAAAAATACGGATCGATGCGCAAAACTACACCATGTATGAGGAAGGATACTCCATGCCATGGGTAAAGTTCATCACGAAAAAAGAAGTAGAGGTCGTTATCCAAGAGATACACTAGGGCCTCTGTGATGCGCATGCGGAATCAAGGGTGATTACCCAGAAGATCCTACAAAGAGGGTACTTCTGGCATTCCATGACCAGTAATACAAATACATTTAAACATCCCTACACCGCCAACCAATCTAATGATTATAATTAGCCCATGGCCTTTCTTCCAATGGAGAGTTGATATTATAGGGCCTTTCCCTAAAGCGTTGGGAAGATTGAAATTTCTAATGGTAGTTGTAGATTACTTTACCAAATAGGTCAAGGCAAAAGAAGTGGCAACAACTTCGAGAAATAAGATAGTAAAATTTGTTTGGAAGCAAATTATATGTCGTTTTGGTCTCTCACACACCATTATCAGTGATAATGGAAAGCAGTTTGTTGCAAATCCATTCAAAAGATGGTGTATAGAAAAAGGAATCAAGTAGAATTTAACTTCAGTGGCACACCCCCAAGCGAACAGGAAAGTGGAGCTAACGAATCGAACTTTGGTAAAGGGGATCAAAAAGAGGCTAGGGAAGGCTAAAGGAAATTAGGTCAATGAATTGAAAAACGTGTTATGGGCATATAGAACAACAGTACGGACACCAACCAAAGAAACTCCGTCCAGTCTTATATATGGAACGGAAGCAGTTATCCCAATCGAGGTAACTGTAAGGAGCATGCGACCTAGGAATCCCCAGGAAAGTTTGAACAATGCAAGTTTGCGAACAAACTTATAATTGTTAGAGGAAAAAAAAGAAGTGGCAGCCATACAATAGGCGACTTACAAAGCAATGATAGAAAGGTACTATAATGCAAGAGTCAAGAGGACATCGTGTAAAGTAAGAGACCTGATTTTGCGAAAGAATGAAGCTAGCTGACAAGAACACATCAGTAAGTTAAGACCAAAATAGGAAGGGCCATACCGAGTAATCGAAGATAAAAGGAATGGATTGTATGTTTTGGAAAACATGGAGGGTATTCTTCTACCAAGAACATGGAGTATGTGAAACCTATGCAAGTTCCACTTCTAAAAACGGCATTGTAGAAGAAAGTTAAAAGTTGATCAGCAGTCATGGTCAAATAGCGTTAGAGAATAGTCATTCTTTCTATATGTAACACGATTATTTCCTTCAATACAATCTTCTGGCTCCACGATCATTCTAGTTTTTAAAGTTATTTGAACATTACCATAATCCTCCAAATTATGGCTCGATGTCAGTTTACTCGAACCATAAGTTAATACTTCATGGTTCGGTACTTATTTGAACATCACCATAATCCTCCATATTATGGCTCGATGTCAGTTTACTCGAACCATAAGTTAATACTTCATTATTCAGTACTTATTTGAAAATTGTCATAATCCTCCGAATGATGGCTCGATGACAGTTTACTAGAACCATAGGTTAATACTTCATGGTTTAGTACTTATTTGGAGATTATCATAATCCTCCATATTATGGATCGATGTTAGCTTGATCAAACCATAAGTTCATACTTCATGGTTCAATACTTATTTGAACATCGCCATAATCCTCCAAATTATAAGTCGATGTCAGTTTACTCGAACCATACATAAATACTTCATGGTTCAGTACTTATTTGAACATCACCATAACCTTCCAAACTATGGCTCGATGTCAGTTTTCTCGAACCATAAGTTAATACTTCATGGTTCAGTACTTATTTGAACATCGCTATAATCCTCCATATTATGGCTCGATGTTAGCTTGCTTGAACCATAAGTTCATACTTTATGGTTCAATACTTATTTGAACATCACCATAACCTTCCAAATTATGGATCGATGTCATTTTACTCAAACCATAAGTTCATTCTTCATGGTTCACTACTAGTCTAAACATTGCCATAATCCTCCAAATTATGGCTCGATGTTAGTTTGCTCGAATCTTAAGTTCAAACCTGGAAAATCAGGGCTAAGTATCATTGTTACTATGATATGCTACATAGATCTTTCAATCCATAAAATGCTACAAGTTTCTAAAAGAAAGAACTAAAGTTTACGAAGTAGGATATGCGAAAAAAGATGGTTACATAAATATTACAATTACAAAAGAGGTGAACAATAGTCATCATAATAAATAGAAAAAACATATGGGGTAACAGCCAAAAATTCTAAGAGATTACAAAAAAGAGGACCACAAAACATAAACCAAGAATTAGACAAATCAAGTCAATTCCCAAAACTTGAGTCATCATATTTGCTCAGCAGATCCAAAGAATTCAATTTCTCCTTCAAAGCTTGGATGACCAACTTATCTCCCTCCAATACACTGAACAATGAATACTTATGAGTAATCAAGTCATAGAAATGATCTACTATGCGGAGTTGAGTGTCAGGATAGGAGTGAAGGACATTCTTCAAATCTAAAGCTTCATAAAAAATTTCTTTCATTTCATAACAAGCTTGATGAAGACCAAGCTGAATAGTTGTGGTTTGGAAATCAACGTTGACATCTCCAAAATCAACAAAGTTTAGAATATACAGAACAAAAGAAGGAATACCCTCCTCCATAGCCCACTAAAGGTTTAGAACATGTTGTTCCATCTCCTCCTAACGATGCAGTGCATCTTGATTTGCCAAGGATTGAGATTCACCAAGAGCAGTAATTTAAGCATCGCTCTCAAATACCAGAGCCTTGGTAGTAGCAAGTTCTTCCTGAAAAAACTTAATACCTACATCCTTAAATGAACAATAATTTTAAGTTAGGACACTTTCTCAGTATATTGTGACTCCAGAGATTGGAATTGTTGGATATCTCCTCTCACTCCATGATTGTTGTTGTACGATGACCAATCACCTTGTTAGATTTGAGTTGAAGGTCTTGATTCAATTTCTTTAACTCATCTTGATAATGCAAGCTCTTGCTCAAGTCACACACTAGAAGTTGCTTTCTCTTAGATAACCCTGATACTTTCTCACGAAGCTCTTTAGCTTCCTCCTCTGTTCGATCATGAATTTCACAAATTTGCTTTAATGACTGCAAACCTTCTTCAAATGTGAGTTGATGATTTGAGATAAGCTCAGTACATGCTTTAGTGCGGGTTGAGACCTCGTTAAACATTCCATCAAGTAAGATTGATCCTTATTATGGGCTTATTCATCAGAATCATTAGCTAATTCAGGACTCCTAGGTACAGTGGTTGTAGCAAACAAACATTGAAATTGTGGGAGCAAAGCAACAAGCGTAACAAGCATAGGCATTACATCCTCTTTCCCAAAAGAAGGAATAACTAGAAAAAAAAACACCTTTATTCATGAACATTGTACACATATGTAAGTATACACCAACAAATAAGCATAAAACAAATAAGTAAAGATTATACCATTCACACTCGATATCTTAGTAGGAGCATCGAGTGAAGAACCAGAAGGAGCAGCATCAACATCAATTACAAAGGTATCCATAGTTGAACAATCAAGAATGTTCGATTCTAGAGGTAGTGGATTCACTACGGCTGTTGTAGATTCTGTGCTAGTTGATCGGAATTGACTAAACCCAACTCCAAATAGCTTCTATTGAAAGACGGCAGTAGCAGATAAAGTTGACAAAGTTAGACCTTCCACACAGAGGGTGCAACATATTGGGCAAGATACGAACTTCAGTGAGAGCAAGTGATGTTTGAATTAGATATGAAGAAAAAATAGGAAATTCATGGGGGGAACTTCAACATCGGATGAGACAAGGTTCTCTTCAACATGTTCAAGGTCGGTATTAGTCATCAAAGGGAAGTCGTGGAGAACAGCTGTTGTTGACATCTCCACAAGGGCATCGGGATCAATAGGCTCAGAAGGGGGTCAGAAGTCCAACCTCACAAATATCTTCTGTTTAATTTTAGTATTACGAATGGATATCTTTCTCTTGGGTGGAGGAGAATCTATTATTAGATTAGGGAGACTCATTACACCCTCCAAAGAAACAATCTTGTATGATCCAATTTTCCTTTTGGAGCTCAAATTCTTCAGATTGGCCCTAGTTGAAGATGATGGGGGTTTTCCACCACCCATTTCTACCTTGACAATCTTCTTGGTAAGGGAAAGCAACAAGGATGTGGTCGTTTCAGCACTTCGAGGATTTGTAGTAGAGTCCATACTAGATTAAGACGGAGAAGGAGAACCATGAATAATGATATCTTTGATAAACAATGAGGAGCCCACTGATCATTTTTTATGTAGTCACTCTAACATGGTCACTTCTTGACTACTAGGGTCTTAATCGGTTTCCTACCAAATTTTGTTCCAGTGAGAACTTAGGCCAGCCATGCCAGAAGTCACTTCGACAGGATCTACCCATTTAATATAATTTTCCGCTAAGTGTTCTATAATCTCGTGTTCTTCAGCATACATGTTGAAGGAAGCGTCGGGAACCCTGTCGGTTGTAACACCATATTACTTGGGGCCTAAAAAATCAGAAGCGGAAACAAAGTAGAATTCTTCTTCTAGTACTTTATAAACGTAGGAGACCATCATAGAGTTCTTCCAATCCATGACGAAGGGAAAAAGACACCCAATCACTGTTCGACATAGTAACATAAAAATGGAGAAACATAGTGATGGAAGGAAGAATATCCAAAGCATAACATAGAAGAGATTAGCAAAGGGATAATGACTTGGGAGGGTAATAAGGTTTCCAACTTGTCCGTATTAGATCACTAAGGTTTTTTTTGTGCGTATTAGACCAATATGGTTGTTATTACCGTTTAGAAATAGTCCTTTTACCGGTTTTAACGGGTAAAAAGGACTATTTCTAAATGGTAATAACAACCATATTGGTCTAATACGCAAAAAAACCTTAATGACCTAATACGGACAAACTGGAAACCTTATTACCCTCCTAAGTCATTAACCCTAATTTTAAAGACATTGAGAATATATGACCATCAACAGTAAACTACTTCGTTTAGCACTCGCATCGTCCCATATAACCTGCTACTCCTCTATATGGCGAAGCTCTTCATCTATAGTTGTCCCTTTGGGGACATCCGATAAAATTGGAACGATACAGAGAAGATTAGCATGGCCCCTGCGCAAGGATGACACACACAAATCAAGAAATGGTCCAAAAAAAATTTTAACACTAATTCCCTTTTCAAATGCTAATAGAGTTCAATTGCAATTCTTACGTTTCAGTAGTTCATCTACTGAAGTCATATCAGACAACATGTGGATTCTATGGTCAGATTGATCTTCTTGTTGATGTCTTCAACCATTTGTGGCAAGTAAGTGATCTTTCTTTCTATAAAGTCTCCTTTAAGTTTTTTTACTTTTCCTGTCATTAATTTTCATGCTTTATAAACTTCCGTTTATGTGTTGTATATAGTCTGTATATGTTTGTTTATGTGTTGATTTTGATTAATTTTGCAACTTCACTTTCTGAGTTCATGTTGTGGTTTTGCTTTTTATAAAATAATTGATAATAGACATCATCTGCAGGTCCCTGTTGGTTTTACATTTCCATTCGTTATCAAATGTAGACATTGATGGAGGTATCAAAAGTGAGATTTTGTTTTTGTACATATGGATGTGTTCATGTAAACATTTAAATGACAAAAAAGAAGTTATTGATAAAAATGTTGCATATTTATGTAATGAAGATCATCAATCATATGAGTTTCTGGACTTAGAAGTTCTGGAAGGGTTGTGAGATAAGTTTAAATGGAAGCAACTATTTTCAGTCAAACAAATCAGTCACATTGATTAGTAAGCATGTTTCTAAATAATTAGGGTTAATGACTTAGGAGGGTAATAAGGTTTCCAGTTTGT